CTGTGGACTTAACTATCTTGAGTAGTTTTGTATTATCACCAAATTATGCTACCTCTCTTTACCTCTATTCCAGAGCATTCACGAGTATGTTGAAAAGCACTGGTCCCAGTACACATCACTGCAGGAAACAAGTGTTTATCTCTCTCTATTGTGAAAACTGGTAATTTATTACTATCCTTTGTTTCCTGTCATTTAACTTCCCTTGCTGAAGTTTAAGCCCATTGCTTCTTGTTCTATCCCCCAGAGGCCAAGTTGAACAAGTTTTCTCCCTCTTCTTTATGACATCCTTTTAGATACCTGAAAACTGCTATCATGTCCCCCCTCAATCTTCTCTTTTCTAAACTAAACAAACCTAATTCCTTCAGCCTTCCCTCATAGGTCATGTTCTCTGGACCTTTAACCATTCTCATTGGTCTTCTCTGGACCCTCTCCAATTTGTCCACATCTTTCTGGAAATGCAGTGCGCAATACTCCAATTGAGGCCTAACTAGCATAGAGTAGAGCGGAAGAATGACTTTTCGTGTCTTGCTCACAACACACCTGTTAATGCATCCCAGAATCATGTTTGCTTTCTTTGCAATGGCATCACACTGCTGACTCATATTCAACTTGTGGTCCACTATAACCCCTAGATCCCTTTCTGCCATACTCCTTCCCAGACAGTCACTTCCCATTCTGTACGTATGAAACTGATTGTTCCTTCCTCAGTGGAGCACTTTGCATTTGTCGTTATTAAACTTCATCCTATTTACCTCAGACCATTTCTCCAAATTGTCCAGGTCATTTTGAATTATGACCCTATCCTCCAGAGTAGTCGCAACCCCTCCCAGCTTGGTATCATCTGCAAACTTAATAAGCATACTTTCCATACCAATATCTAAATCGTTGATGAAAATATTGAACAGAGCCAGTCCCAAAACAGACCCCTGCGGAACCCCACTTGTTATGCCTCAACTCATACTCGAGGTTGCCCAACTGATCTTAGATTACATGAAAAGTTTAAAAGCACTTTTCCTGATAAGGTGACCATTTTCCTTGACTCTGACTCCTGCCATGCTCATACGTACTTTGGTGATTCCTGATTTGGATTATCATACTATCTACATGAGGTGACACTGGAGGTAAGCTGTTGAAAGTTAGAGCTGGTGCTAGAAGAATCTTAGTCCAGGGTGCCTATGATTCACCAGGAATGGAGGCTAACTTTCAGCTCCTTATTCACTCCATGGCAAATGAGATCAGCTGAAGCATTTGATCTAACAAGCTATGGATCTTTGAACTGGTGGTAACTAATTCTCAGTGCACAGCAGCTGATGCAAATTCATTTCCCTTGGTAGTCTTTTGACCTCTGTTGCAAAATGCAGAGTACAAGGGGGCGGAGGAAGGGGGGGACGGGACATTTTCAGTTGAAAATGTACTTCACTAAAAACATAGATTCAGAAAATACCTAAAATGTCCAGTATTTTCTGATTTTTTTTTTCCCTGCCAGGAGGCAAAAATACCAGACACCTGGCAACCCTATGACACACTTGGCAACCAGGCCCAGCCCTCGGACCGTCCCCGGACACCCCCACACCTCCTGCCACTTACCTGGTTCTGCAGGGGCTTGTCTTGTGGCTGGAGCAGAAAAACAAAATGGCCACTGGCAAAAAAAAGCCTTTTCTTAAAGGGGTTATGCAGTTTTTTTTATTTAAAAAAACATTTTTTTTTGCTTAATAAGTGCTGTCGGGGTCCTTTTTTGCTCAACAACTTTGGTCTCCCCTTTTTTTCCTCAACAGAATTTTTTTTTCAGTGTGTTTTTTGGGGGGGATGTATTCGGTATTTTTGGTTAAACCATCTGGCAGCCCTACTTGCCATCCTTCACATGGTTATTTTAATTATCCTAAAAGAGCCACTCAAGGTACTTGAGTATTTTTACTTCCAATAGATGCTTTTTTTTTTTTCAAACTACAAAAAACAACACTTGGATTTGGTTTGAGTTCTGCAGTAGGTTCTAGTCAATTCTTACCATTACTTAATCAGTTTACCCAGTCCTACTAATGAAAAGCCACTGCTTTTATGGTGTAAAATGAAGAGTCTGATTCTACAAGCCTTCAAACCACAGAACTTCCACTGGGTTGTGTTTGCAGTTAGCTTATGTCACAAACTGGAGGCCACTCACTACAAGTAAAAGTTGCAGGCAGATATTGGTAATAAAGCTTTGTCTATTTAAAATGAAGACTTAGAAAAGAAGAGCTCCTCTGGTTTTGTTGTATTTCTCGCCCTGAAGTGATTTATTAGGTCAAACAACTATGCAAAACATGAGGGTAACTTTATTTCAAGAAGTCATTCATTGGTTTTGCTTGCAAACAAGTCTTCCGTGTACAACCCAAGACCGATTCTGAGTTCTATCTCTACTATGTTGGTGCTAGCATAAAAATACAGACACTAACAGGGAATGAATGTTCAACATTACATTAAAACGTTCCACCGGTATATTAGAATCTGCTAACAAGATGGAAGCATAATGGAGAGGTCAGCCTTTAAACTATACCATAAAAACATACTAATGTAGACATCAGAATGCTTAACAAAAATATTTTGGTTAATTTTGAACCATATGGTGTGACAAAAGAAACTCCTAAATCCTGACATTGAAAAGTAAACTATTCTCTCCCCTACATAGTTTAATGGATTAATATATTATATTTCAGCTTCTAGAAGCTGGGTCTGCCTCAGCAAGATCCCATTTCACTCAGAATTAATGAACCAGACTATTCTTTTAAAAACATTACCATGAGACTTTTTACTTTAAAAGGGCTTCCTTTTTCACCTCTTAATTTGGGCAGGTTTGTTATCCTTAAAAGAATAAGATTACATTGATTGGAATATGACTCAAAGATGGGTTTCATTTTTTAAGCGCATGAAACCTCAGTCTTTTGAAGATTAACTCCTCTTGGAAACAGAAAAGAAAACTTCCAGAAGAAAACTTCAGTTTTCACCTGCTTTGTGCAGCAGCTCTGGCTGGCAATATCAAACCAAAAAAGCTGGCACCACTATTGCAATAATATCATGTATTGACCCAGAATTATGTCTGTGCTGGATGCTTATCATCGGAAAGTTCATAAACACTCCAAAGCTCACCCAAGGAGAATGTTAATGGACAGGTGTCAACAACAATCACAAAGTTCTGCAATTCCATATTCTGAGAAAGCCAAACAGTGCAGGCAAACTCTGCAAAGTGTTACCTACCAGCCCTGTGCTCTTGGGAGTCAGGGAGTGACATTCATGGAAAACCATTCTCCACTCCTCCCCCTAAGCCTTTGCTAGAATCAGACAAAGCAATGAAAAGGCCAGGGAAGACACACCTAAACTAATTAAGGAAACACCCCAGCCTCATCTGCATTGAAGATAGAACTCATTAGCATACAGAATGGAGACCAGCTCTATTGATGATCCTATTGACATCTAAAATACTGAAACAGCCTAGTTGCATTGTGAGTTCCTTCAATGAACATCTCCCCTAACCAGGGGTGATCAGTCTCTATTGTCTCTCCTCTTTCTCTTTGAACTATTGTCCTATCCCTATAAAAACGCCTATCCTTGCCCCAAGAAAAACTGTTCTGATAACTGGATTTAAACACAAATCTGATATTAGGAATGGCAACATACAAAAACCTGTAGGGGAACACTTCAATCTTCCTGGACACACAATTGCAGATCTAAAAGTAGCCATCCTGCAGCAAAAAAACTTCAGGACCAGACTTCAAAGAGAAACTGCTGAGCTACAGTTCATCTTTAAGTTGGACACAATCAACTCTGGATTAAACAAAGACTGTGAATGGCTCGCTAACTACAAAAGCAGCTTCTGCTCTCTTGGAATTCACACCTCCAGATCAGCTGCTAGAAGTGGGCCTCATCCTCCTTGATTGGATCCCCCTCCTCATCTCCAGCCTGATCCTGGCCTGCATATTTATACCTGCCTCTGGAAATTTCCACTACATGCATCTGACGAAGTGGGTCTTTGCCCACGAAAGCTTATGCTCCTACACGTCAGTTAGTCTATAAGGTGCCACAGGACTCCTCGTCACTTTTGCAGATTCAGACTAACATGGCTACCCCTCTGATACTGGATTTAAACTGCATCAGTTCCATTTTAGACTTTGTCATCTCCTGTCTGATTGTGCTGGGGGCTCTGCTCTGCTTGTCTCCTGCCCTCTGGACCCCTGGCTACCATCATCATCTGGGAACCCCGATCAGTGCAAACTCCATGGAGTGGTGAGGTCTCCCTCTCCCTCTCCTTCTTAAATCTAGATATAAGCACTTGCCTGAACTCAGAACCACTGAGATGCAGTAACTCTACTTGAGGCCTTTAAGTGGAACTCAAGTGGTGCAGAGATCCAGGCTGGACTTCTGCATGGGATGAATTTCACCTTGTAGAAATTTCTTTCAATGATATAGGATTTTTTTAAGTGCTAGATTTATCAATACTGGGGCTACAGGGTCACAGTGTAATGGAAGCAACCATACTGAGGTGAAATAGATGTACAGTAGTTAAAGTGCTAATGACATAGCAAAATTCAGTGCCATGAAGATAAGATTACAAATGATGCCATCCTTTACGTGTATAATGACTTGATCCTACAATAACAGCTATATAAGAAACTCACAGACAGATCAAGATAGCTAGATTAAATAGACCTGGCAAATCTTATAGAAGTAATGAGGAAAAAAATCAAAGGATTATCTGATTGTCCCTATCATTCAAAATTAATGTCAGAGATCTTCATTAAACAGACTGCTTCAGGAAGTGTGTCAAACTTACAGCAGGAGGAGAAGTAGCTCTAATGGTCCTCACTATGGGAGGGCAAACCCCGAGGAAATGGGGCAAGCAGAGGAATACAATCACTGTACACTTTGCACATGTTTAGATCTTTTAAGCAACAAAACTTCACTCGTTCCACACCAAGAATCCTAAAAATCTATGTAAGCAGGAAAGAATTGATAAAGATTCACATGCTTACCTGGTGTTATCTGAGTCAATGGTATGAAAGAGCTTTTCAAGTTCTTCCTCATTAAGAGTCCCATCAGAAAAAAAGGCCTGGAACTCCTCCAAGGACAACTTCCCATCATCTGTGAATGGCAAGATAGTGGGTGTTAAGAATAAAAGATCAATAGAGGGAAAGCACAACCAAATGAAAGACAAAGTCTCGATCAGCTTACAGCTTACAGGAAGGGGAAAATTCTTGAAATTTCTGAATATCTGTCCTGTATAGTATCAACACGTTTGCCAGTGCAGAATTCCCTTGGTACATGGCTGTTTTTTTAACACAGGCTTTCAAATGGGATACATCTAAGAAGTCAGGGCCAAATGCATTACAAAGACTGAGAAGGATGTTGCAAAGGCAGCCAAATATGTCATGGTAATAGTGCTGTGAGGCATGAACAAATGTCAGAGCTACCAAGTTAAAGCATTACTTACGGTGGGCACCAATGGAGCTCAGCTTGAAAGCAAATGCCATGTTAAAAGAGGAAACTTTACATCAGCATTATAAAGAAGGAGTTCTATTTGAAGAAAATGTTCACAGTTCATTAGTTTATATTGGGGTGGGGAATCTCAGGCCTAGAGGCCGGATGTAGCCCCCAGCTTGCCTGCATCCAGCTCCCAAGGCTCAGTGGACCCCAACATTGGGGACTGGCACTCTAGCCACTCCATTACCCCACCACTGGGCTGGATCACACAAAATCTACTAGGCTGGCCTCCCCTAGGCTCTGATGTGGGAGGAAAATGTGGGGAGTGTCTTTCTCCTTCTCAGATGGGGGCCATATCAGTGAGGGTTTGGGGGTTTTTTTTTTTTTTTACTTCTCACTTGTGTGTGGGCCCCGACTGATTTTTCTGTGCATCAGTGCCCCCCCCCCCAAAAAAGGTGCCCCACTCCAGTTTAGGGATGTTAAATTGCGGGTAATTGACTAATCGAATAGTCAATGCATTTTGCATCACCTATTTGATTATTTGATAGGTTGTCTCTGCCTCTGAAGTATAGAAACAGCCCTAGGGCTATTGCTATACTTTAAAGGCAAAAGCACCACATGGAGCCCAGGGTTAGCTAAAGCTTAAAATGCCTAAAACAATCAATTTTCTACTGTAACAACACTAAACAGTGTTTCTTATTGTAGTGTTACTATAATATTTTGGGTTACTTATTATTGTAAAATCATGTGCTACCTATTTAAAAGACTGAGAGGGAAGAGAGACAGACATGTGCAGTCATGCAAAGAAGAAAACATCATAAGACCCTGACATGACAAAGGTACAAGGCTACTTATGCAACGAAGTCTCTCTCTCACTATGCACTGTGAGAAGGTTTCTTTCTCTCTGTAGCAGGAAGCCAAACACTGAGGGGCTGAGGAAAACTCCCGTGCATAACTGTCTAGTAAAGCTAGGATAAAACTGTGGGGGGTCAGTTCATTAAAGTTCCCTTTTCAGTGCTAGAAGACAACAACCAATAGCTTAACATTGTTGTACAACTGTGCCTTGGGTGGAGAAAATAATGCAACTTTCATACTATTTAAAAGCTCTTCCTTTCATAGCCCTAGATTTATGAACTGGAAATGTTACCTATATTGAGATACGAGAATGTATCATTTATTATTTAATCAATTAAAAGCCATGTTGCTTAACTCTCAGGAAATTATGCTGGAGAACCAAGTTAGCTGACTCACTGCATACACAAGTGAACACATTCTGACGTGGGGAAAAAAGTGTACTGCGCCTGAACTACATATCTGGGTTTCAAAGCAATAATACAGTTTTCATGGACTGAAGCCAATGAATGTAGGTGATAGTTTGGCATAAGTTATCTATTTTATAGGTGATTATAAAAAGATGGTGACAGGAGAAGGAAAGTAAAAAATCAATATTGGGTAAGTACTTATATTTTGCAAAGCTCTTGGGAAAATGGCTGCAAGTAACGGGAGCTTTTTCTCTGTCCCGACTGAAAAACTTCACTCATTTCAATAGGCGTTTCACCCATGTAATGACTCAGGGCTTCTACATTTGGCCCAATATGAATTTGGACTCTAGTCATGTTTTGCTGACATGTGTTGAGCTGTACTTGTTCTGTTGCCATTCTATGCAGATCAGCAGAACAGGAGAGGCACTCTAGATACCTGGAATGCCCAGCAGTAGTTAGCAAATTTACTCAGGATTTGGTATTTTCATTGTCAAGAATGAAAGTCTCAGTGGAAAAGGACTTAATGCAACTTTGGCAAATGAATCATCACTGAAAATGAAAATGTCAGTACATCAAAGAGAAACCACGGAAATCAAACACTCCACCTCTTGGAGCATCAGACTTGATCAATGGGTCATCTTATGTGGTATTCTGTCTCCAGCTTTCTCAGGGCTGTATATTTCATAGGAAGATGAACATTATCCATAATGTAATCCACTTATGTAATGGTATACTCAAGATGGAAGGGCTAATTTCTTCCTGACCCCAATTGGTGATTAATTTATGTCTTGAAGCACAGGGATAAACAAACCTTTTCTCTGAGCAGGTATAAAATGCAGAGGCTATTCTTATATATAATATCTAGTTTTTAAACTTAATAGGTGACTGTTTACCTTAATAATATTCTTCTGGACAAAGGTTAAGCAGAATCACCTTCCCATCCAAGCAATTTCAAGAAGCATTAGTGGCCGGGAAAGAAGCAGCATAAAATTGAGAGCACATTATTATTTTAACCCTTTAATGTCACTTAGTTTACTTTCAATCAGTACACACAAAAAGCTATTTTGCTGTAAGTTTACTTACAAGCAGTTGTGATGTTTTTGACACTTTATGTTTTCCAAAGGAGAATGTCTCATTTGACTTTTACTTGATTTTTTAAAGTCACATACAGTTTTTACCCACTGAAACGTAAGTATTTAAACTCTAAGTCATTCCATACTAAAGTTTCTGAAACATGTGGTTAAGAACACAGGAGCAGGTAGTAGCTTTCTTATGGTAGTTCACATCATTTCAAAGTCAGTGTTACCGGTCTATTAATAGAGCTGCCTACTTGGCTGCAAAAGTATGTTCAAGAGGAAATTGGAGAGAAGAAAAGCAATGCCTTAGCACAGCTACAACTACAAGTGACATTTTTGTAATTATTACTAAAGTGCTACTTGGTGCTAAACAAAACAAGCATGGGAATGGCCTATGGAACCTAATACAGGAC